CTCTTCTTTCGTTTCTTGCATTCTGAAGCGAAGTGCTAAATGCTGTTGCAATTGAAGTACCTTAAGATGATATTTACCGCATTTGAAACATTATTACTTTTATTTATCTATGCAAAAAGCACGCATTAATTGTCCCCTTGATGAAAAATCTTGTGGATAGGCTTGTGTTTTTAACTGCGCATCGCCGATCCTATAGATCATATAATTTAGAAGTTCGTCTTTTTCGAGATCTGGACAATTTGACAACGAAACTTTGTCATTGAAGTATTGAGTGAAGTTCGAATTTTTCCCACAAGACTAACTTGCTTTCGTTAGATTCAAAAACTTTACGCATTTCGTTTATAATTGTTTCGAAGTTTTCTGTGGCATAATTTGATTTCGAATGCAACCATTTCAATGCCTTGCATTTTAATTTATTTAACAATAAGACACGTCGCACACTAGTTTCTATTGCGTATGCTTCAATAACACTTTTTAATGGGTCACCCAAACTTCCGCGCTGGATTCCCCATCATATTCGGGTACAATTTTGAACAAGACATAAATGGAAATTATCCCATTTGAATTGAAATTATGTTCCGTAACATTCAATTATTTTTCCGATCTTCTATTTTCAGTTCTTTAGCAATCCATTTTTCACACTTTATCAATATCTTTTACACTTTAGCAAACTTCTTTCTTTCTTTAAAATATCAGTTTATTCCTTTTTTTATTTTTATATCAAAATTTTTATTTTCAGTCTTTTTATTTAAAAAAAAAATCAGGAAAGGGTCGCATTCCCACTTCTGGAAACTGTAGACGCATCACTATTATGACATATTTATGTATTTACATTAGGGTGATCTCACTCTGCAAGATAATCCAAGTATATTGGGGTGTAACCTTGCTACTACACGAAGCATGACTGCTACTAATTCAGCCTCGACCCAGACATACCTAACGTATGTCCCGCCTACAATGATTCCCCGCACTACACTAACCATGTCTTTGCCGCACACCGACCGAGGGCGCGTCTAAGAGATAGTCGAGCAATCCAACAGACCGGTGACCGAAAACCAGTAACAGTCCGGCATGCCCTGGGAATTTATTAAATTACTTAAAGCACTCAGAAAGTAGGTTTTGATGCAGAAAAGCTAGTTAGAGGAATAAATGTTGGTGAAAAGTCTATTAAAGATCTGAAAGGGGAGTGCATTTCAAAGTTTATTCTGCATGAACACAATGAAAGGGCTTAAGGTGTCTAGATGATCTTAAAGGGATTGTGAAATTAAGCTCGCTAAGTAGAAATGGGCTGTTGATAGCACCTCTTATTAATTAAGCTAAAAATAAAACTCCAAACATCTTTCTACGACTATGGAGTGTAGGAAGATTAATGAGCCGTAAGCGACTTTTGTAAGAAGGTAGGTTCTTGTTCGCATCCCAGTTTAAATTTCTTAACGCGAATAGTAGGAATTATTTTTGTACAGATCCCAATTTATCACTATACAATTGATAGTGCGGACTCCATACAACTGAGCCATAATCCAAAATGGGTATGGTAATGTATGGGTCCTTGAACTCCTTATCTTAACGTTTAACTAATTTAAAGAGCTTGGCATCATATTTTATTTGAAGAACCACATTTGGAAGGTCATTGATGAATATAAGGAAAAGTAAGGGGCCGATGGTACTGCTATTTCAATATTTAAAAATTACTTTTTGTTTTCTACCAATCAAGTACGTTGAAATCCAATTGAGAAGGGAGGGGTGGAAACTCAACGTGATCGAGTTTAAAATGAAGTAAGGAATGAGAGACCTTGTCAAATGCTTCGCTAAAGTCAGTGTAGATCTGTTTGATTACCTTTTTTGAAACCATTACTGACATGGGTAGATTTTCCTTTACAAAATCATGTTGTGAGATGTCTATAATTGATGACATAACTTTGTTATCCCCTGTAATTCCCCATTGAAAATCTCCCCTCCACAAAGAAAGGAATAAATATTGCTTTAATGAAGCGTTGAATATGTTCGTTAATGGTATACGTAGAGACTCAGCACAAAACTTAGGTACACTAGTAGGGATATTATCGGGACTATATGTGAATGAGCTCTTAAGGGCATTAAGATGGTGATAAATAACATCAGCGGATATATATGCTACTTTTACGCAATCAAACGAGTATATTAATGGCTGCGGCTTTCAATTTGTGTTCGGCGCATGAGTAAATTCTAAAAAGTCTGCGAACATATCTGCGATTCACATAGAATGACTTCGGATTCGAAGTAATGTTATATTGAATTCCTGACATATACTTCTTGTAACACGACTTATTCAAAATATTATACTTTTGCCTTACTACGGAATAAGCGCCTTAATCAAAAATTTTGCCGGACATTTTATAGTATTCTTATTTTTCAAGCTATTCACTTCTTTATTAACCCATAAAGCATTTTGAGTACGGAACAAATTTTCTGAATTCAGAATGTAAAGCACTTGTGAAGTGAAGAACGCTTTCTTCCACGTAGGGAATTGTAGACAGCCCATTATAAGATTAAAATAATGTGCCTTTATAAATGAAAAATGAGAATTTTCGATTTTGAAGTAGATATTGGATAATTAAGATTAGAGGGAGCATCTAAAGATAATTCGAGAGATGGATGATAACCGTCTTAGGGCTAAACGAAAGGATCACAAGGACTTAAAGAAAATGACGAAATTTCATCCAAAAATATAAATATTTTTTGTTAATTAAACGTATTTTAATACAAAGAAATTCCATCGCGTCCGATTTCGCAAAATGAATTTCTTCGGCGGCAAAGTCAGTTTGAACTCCAATAAGTACTCCACCACCAATTTTATTTAAACAAAGATTCCCAAGATTTTTGGCTCAGATAAGGCGACCAATTACCTGTTGCAAGATTTTTTCTAATCTTTCTTTGATTGAAATAAAACTCTCGAGCAAAAGCACCATATGGCCAACATGATGAGTTCAAAAGTAATTTGAAGCAATCAGCGGAAACATCAATTTTAAAGAAAGCTATAGATCTTTCTTAGGAGAAATAGCGCTTCCTAACTTCCAATGTCTTAGTGGTAGCTCTAGTTACACAACCTATATGGTTTGGAGAATTGTGTTCCCTGGGGCAAGGGGAATTAAATGAGATCAAGCCGTTATTAAATTCGCACTAATTAATGAATTTATAGGAGCATCCGAAGCAGTGACTAGTTTTAGAACTATGCTTTCCTTACTATGTTTTCGCTTCTTGTATCTTGGCTTAACTTTCGAGGAATCAGAGGAACAAATGCAATTAAAAGATTCAAATGTGTCCTCACATTTTTGAAATTTTTCGGTAAGGACTTTCAAATCCTTCCCTATTTCCCAAAAGCCATTTCTTGTAGTTTTCAAAAGTTTAAAAATTTCAATCTCAACAGGAAGTATAACGCTCAGCATCACTTTTCGAAAGATCAGGACATCTTTTATATAAAAATTAAAGTAATAAAAATAAATATATAAAAGAAAAATAACTAAAAACGTGCAGAAGCACTGAAATAGTATAATTTAACAAGCTGAGGAACAAGCGAAATAGCACAGTTTAAGAGGCGATGTAATAAAACCACGATCAGTTGATTGATGTTAAGCGAAAATAATGAGAATAACGAGAGAGATAGAAGGTAATAATTTGTATGTATAAACAAAACGAAGAAGAAGAAAAATAAAATAAAAGTATATCTTTTTCACGCAAGGATCCTAAATCCTTGCATAACTTTGGGCACTGGCTAATTGCTTCTTGTTATTTGAGGCTTGGTTTTCTGGCATATATGGGGTGTAACAATTAAGTTATGATACCGATTATATTGCCGCGATTGTAGTACCCTGTGACCCTGAATTCTTCTCCTCTCCATTGATATATTTGCTATCGCTCTAGCTTGTTTAGTTCGCCTGCTGTGTCGTGTTGTGTAAATGTGTGTTCATGGTGCTCGTCACGAATGTGGAAAAACGAAATTAGGCGTAAAAGCTTCGGAAACTTACTCTAAAATTGTAAAAGTACATAGTTATAGTGCTCTTAGTCGTGCCCAGTGCCTAAAATGGTTGTCTTCGCACGCCCTCTCGAAAAAAAAGCTCGCATGAGCAAGTGGAAAGTGAAAACGATGATTATTTATAATTGCTTCCACCTTATTCTTATTCTCCCGGTATGTCACCCTGTGACTTTTTTGTTCCTAAAACAAAATCGGTGTTCACAGGAACCCATTTTGAGTCGATTGAGGACATCCAGGCGGCCGTGACGAGGGTACTCGCGGACAACCCAGTCGAAGCGTTCCAGAAATGTTACGAAGCATGGAAAACGCACTGGAATCGTTGTATAGCTGCCCAAGGCGACTACTTTGAAGGCGATGGCAGAGTTGTAGAATATTTTGAAATATACGGTTTTTATGGAATCAGTCTCATTACTTATTTGTCACATCTCGTATGTACGTATTGTTTGCAATGGAATTTACCATCTTATGGTCCAGATGAGATATCTAATCTGTTTTGCATCTTCCCATCCATTCCCACTGGGGCGGTATGCGATTGGCATCTGTGAAGCGTCAGATGCCTCTTATGGCATTGGGTTAAAGACCACGTTTTGAAACGAGCCTAGTGCTCAACTTGAATACATTAAAATCTTCTCCCCCACCCGCGTATAGAAAAATTAAAAATAAAATATAAATAAACAAAGCAAACTGTAACAATCTCTCTTTTAAATCTAAATAATATATGTATAGTATGTATGTATCTATGCAAAAAAAGCAAATAAATTAAATAATTAATGCTGAAATGTGCACAAAAATCAAAAGATTTTAAAAGAACACTTAGCTACGATGGTATGCTAATGTTCATATTAAAGATTTTGGGACTTTAAACATAAAAATATTTAACAGAAGTGAGATGTAAAGATTTAGACAACCACACAGCACGAACATTTGAACGGTTGCTCTACAAATAGCAAAATATGTGTGATTAATTACTGAACAATTGTAATTTTAGAATGGAACAATACTTGACGGATTAGCGCTATGGAAAAATACTTTAGATAAGAAGTTTGAAGGAGTTGAGGAATGTTACGTATGCTACACTGTTATTCACCAGGACACTTGCCAGCTGCCAAAACTCACTTGTAAAACTTGTAAAAAGAAGTTCCATGGACCTTGTTTGGTAAGTTTTATTTTCAATACAGATTCCTGCTGGTTAAGAGTTCAAGAATTCAACCGCAGTCGTCGCCTGTCCAATAATTCTAGCGACAATACCGCAATATTCCCCGAAAACCAATTTTTTGCCTAGTATATTTGTATAAATTTCCTTTCATTTCCTATACAGTTGAGGTTAAACTTATAAAAAGTTACTTACATATTTCAAATTGATTAATTCCCATTTTGCAGGGGAGCTTTTTGTGATAATAAATAAAATAAAAATCTGTGTGCAAAAAAATGATTAAATTTCCAAATATATAGTCAGCAAATTTATTTGAGTAATGCCGTTTACATCACCCAAAGAAAGTTTTGAATGAGTTTTATGATTTTTATACATACAGTGACTTACAGCCAAAGTGTTGTAGCTGTGTAAGAAATAGTATAGTAAATTTTATTTAAAAATTCGTTAAATTTTCCAAAAAATTCATTTATGCTTTAAAAATTTTATATTCTATGTTTATTTTATGTAATTAACAACAAAAACAAACTTCACTACTAAATTGTACCTCACAGCGAAATGATGCACACAGATTTAACGTTATATTCGGAGTGTAGTCGACAATTTTTGAATGAGATTACAATATGAGATAATTGTGTCATTATAATATATAAAGATGGTAAAAGTCAGCGTAAAATCGCGGAAATCGTGAAATTGAAAACTAAAACGGCTCATAATAAAATATTTAACGAAAGCGATTCCCGATGGATTGTACGGAAAATACGCGAAACCCCCCACTTAAGAGTTCCAGCTTTAGGATGTACTAAAATATCTTGGAAAAAACTATAACTCAGAAACCATACGAAGAATCCTCAGAGAAGCTGATTTTAATGGCCGCACAGCTCGAAATATATCATATGTTAGTACTAAAGATCAAAGTGCAAGGCTGAAGTTTGCAAAGAAGCATTTATATAATGATGAAAGTTTCTGGGCCACCGTAATTTTTGCGAACGAAAGTAAATTCAACCTGCTTAGATCAGATGGAAAGAGCTATGTATGGAGAAAACCAAAAGCTGCGTTACAGTCGCAAAATTTACGTAGCACTGTAAAACATGTTGGAGGAGTATGTAATGGTATGGGGTTGCATATCGTCTTTTGGAGTCGGTAATTTGAATTTCATCAATTGTACTATGGATAAGACTGTGTATTGGGACATTTTGAAAAGAAATTTGTTGCAAAGCGCATCAAAATTAAATTATCGTGACAAGTTTCGGTACTATCAAGATAATGATCTGAAACATAAATCAGACGTTGTGCTAAGTTGGCTTATTCGGAACTGTCTGCATGTCTTCAGTTTTGGAACAAAAATGAGATTTGAAATCAAACCGACCTAAAAAGCCCTACAAACAGAATGAAGCAATATTGCTCATGACTACACGAAGAGGTTAGTGGAATCCATGCCCAAACGTAGGAAAACATTCATAGACAGCAGGAGTATCCTACTAAATATTAATTAATATACAATTATAGTTATGTTCTTAAAAAAAGACATTTATTAATTTCTTTTATTACTGCATCATTTTCGCTGTGAGGTACAACTTAATAGTGAAGTTTGTTTTTGCTGTTAATTACATAAAATGAACATAAAATATAAAATTTTTAATGCATAAATGAAATGTGTATATCTGCCGCTATTAACTGGCATTCATGTGTTTTGGAAAATTTATTTAATTTTTGAATTATACTCATACTATTTCTTGCACAGCTGCATCACTTTGGCTGTGAGCCACTGTGTATTGAATTTTGAAATAAAAAATTTATTTCCCAAAGGCACACTTCTTTGTTAAAAGAACACTTAATTTTTTTTTTGTGAAAATTAAGATAAAAAGGGACCCATTCTTTTAAGTCTAGACAATAATTTCATTAAAAATGCTGTGAGTGTATTAAAACATAAACTAACATCTGATTCCTCATTATTTTTTGCTTGAAAAACGTTAACTGCCTTTCATATGTATACTTACTTACGATAATATGAAAATTAATTGGATTCAATTTCTCTTTTTTTCAGTACAAATGGTTTACAACCAGCAGCAAATCAACGTGCCCAATTTGTCGGAACGTGTTCTGAAAGTTTAAATGCCTTAAAAATCGCAAATCTGTAACACTGAAAAAAAAAACTTATATGCTATATGACTTCTATATCTGCTCAATATGGCATCGGTGGTTAAATAATTGTTGTTGTGTTTGTTCATAGCCGAAAAAATTTATTATTAATAAAAATTTTATAATAATATACATACAAACATATTCTAAATGAATTTTATGCTTAAAAACTTTTATTTGAAATCGGAAAAGGACGTTTTTGTGCTGTAACCCTTTTTTTGAGAAACGGGTGCTGCAACATCCGCAAATTTGTTGTTGAATTGGTAGGATGGATATTCTTATTTCAATTATCTATTGTGGTGAAGAGAGACTTTTCCACCGGGTCTAGTCTACATAATTTTAGGCTGAAATATGTCCATACATTAAAAAAATTGCACCCTCGAACGCTAACCAATCACAATAAGCACCCAATCGATGGATCGCAGGATCCGTTAAAGGTGTTTGAAGTGACGCGATGCTTTTAGTAACCAAATATTCTATTCAGCTCTTGGTGCGCCCTGTTTTCCTGAATTTAATGATTAAAACCAAATCTTGAACTATACCCAGAATATTCACGTAAAGTACCACCGAAGCAACCAAATGCTTAGCGGATATCTAGCAAAATATATGTATGTTTATAAGGTATTGTAAAAATATTAATTTAGATAAATTTACACAAATTTAAAAAATCGCTTGGAATTTATACTCTCACTGAATTTCAGGGAAGATATTGAAGAAAATGAATGTGAGGTTGAATTATTAGAAACGAAAAAAAAAATAAAAATAATAGAGTTTCATTAAAAACATACACAAAGCTTTTTTGTAAATCATTTGCCGGACTTTGGGCGTTTCTTGAATAAAATAACCCTGGGTCGAACTAATACCGGCTCCGCTCTGGACAGTATTATTTAAGTAAAACACGAGCCGAAACAGCACCAGCTTCGCCTAGTACAGTGTTCTTAACTGAAAAACAGTTGTGAATTGACGGCCCTAAACTATATTTTGGATAAATGATTGATTGATGATGGTACCATTTTATTGGAACTGTTTTTTTTTTTTTTTTTTTTTTAAATATATACATATTGAAATATGCATATTATTTGTTCCTTTCCAACAATACCATTTTTTTTTAGATTTAGTGCACAAATTAACGAAATTCAGCCTATGAAACTTCGGAAATTCAACGATCGTAATCCCTTTTTTTGCATTCTTGCCCTTGTCAGGTTCTTTTATCGGTTGTCAAACTTATTATGCCAGTAAATATAGCCAGGAATGACAACTGAAATGAAAAACGAAAGCGATCAGGTGATCACAGCTGTGATCTCAAACCGGTAGCTGACTCTAAGTTTTCCTATTTTGGAGGATGTACAATGGTCTGCATTCTTCCAATTTGTTACCACATCTTTAGTATTTTCAGGTAAGTACCGTAATATATTGTAAAAAAAAACTATTGCAAGTTGTATAAATTTGAATTTGTTAGCGAGGAATATTTTTCTTCTCTTTATTAGCGTTGAATTAATTATAGCGCGCCATCCATTACTTTTTTGCACCTGTTGGATTTCAAGGCTGGCTTTATTGTTGGTGTTGATGCTGGTTCCTAATAGACGAAGTTATCTACGACTTCAAAGTTAGGACTGTCAACAGCGACTTAGGCACCGAGTCGCGAATGCGATGACTGTTTGTGTGATGACAGGAGATATTTCATCTTGCCTTCATTCACTACCAGACCCATTTGCTTCGCTTCTTTATCAAGTCTGGAGAAAGCAGAACTAACGGCGCGGTTGTTGAGTCCAATAATGTAAATATCATCGGCATACGTCAGCATCTGTACACTCTTATAAAAGATTGCACCTTCTTTATTCAACTCTGCAGCTCGTATCATTTTCTCCAGCATCGAATTAAAGAAGTCACACGATAAGGGGTCGTCTTGTCTGAAACCTCATTTGATATCAATCGGCTCGAAGAGGTCCTTCGGACGATCCAGACGAAGCTTTTGATCGAAGGCGGCATTAAAATCGACTAAGATGTGGTGAGTGTCGATCCTTTTTTCAATGGTCTTTTCCAAGACTTGGCGCATAGTGAAAATCTGGCCAATGGTTGACGTACAAAAGCCACACTGATAAGGTTCAATCAGTTTGTTGACGGTTGGCTTTAGTCTCTCATACAAAACGCTCGATAGGACCTTATATGCGATATTTTCACGATAATTGGCGCAGGCTGTAGGGTCCCCTTTTATATGGATTGGGTAGAGCACCTTTAAATTCCAATCGTCGGGCATGTTTTCATCGGACCATATTTTGCTGCACATTGTCAGCTCCTCACCGCCATGTTTGTTTGCCTGTGGGCCGTCAACCCCTGCCGCTTTGTTGTTTCCTAAGCGGGCAATCGCTATTCGAGCTTCTTCATGGTTCAGTAGGCTGGTGAAGTGTTCCCTCCATAAATTCAGTATACTCTGGGCATCCGTCACTAGATCACCCCTCTGGGTCCTAAAAGAGTATGCACCAGTCTTGAAACCTTCTGTAAGTCGCCGTATTTCCTTATAAAATTTTCCAGCATCGCCCTTGTCGGCCAGCTTCTCAAGCTCTTCGTACTTACGCATTTCGACCTCTTTCTTTTTTTGTCTGCAAATGCGTCTTGCTTCCCTCTTTAGCTCTCGATATCTACCCCAAGCCCCACGTGTTGTGGCAGATCGCAGGGTTGCGAGGTAGGCAGTAAGTTTTCTCTCCACTGCAGTTCGACATTCCTCATCGTACCATTTTTTTTTCTGGCACTGCCGAAAACCAATTGGGTCCGTAGCGGCGGTACGCAGTGAGATTGAGTTCCAAATTTCCCTTATATCAAGGTGCTGATGATTGCTCTCAGAGAGCAGGTGTGCAAGCCGAGCAGTGATTGCAGGTTTTTGACGTCGAACCTTCCTTGTGTTAATATTTCATTTTGTGCACCGTCGTCGGTTCAAGAAGCTTAAGAATGCATTATCATCATTGTGACCGTAGCAGAAACCTTGCTTCGAATTGTTTTGTGGCTCCTTTTTTCGCCACTGATTTCTAGTAAAATCAGCTAGCCTTGTATTTACAAGAAATAATAATATGTATATTCTAATTCTATGCCTTCAACATTCCTAACTTCTAAATTCTCTTAGTGTGCGGGCGATAATTCCACTCCACTACCACCACATTCTCATATAACGAGTACCTAAACTATTTGATTGAATCGTTGATATTATTAAATTTGTTTTAACAATTCCGCAATTTGTCCTGCCGGGATGAAGCGGGCGGCAGCGGGCACGACGACCCTGCGGAATAAACGTTCACCAGTGGTGACGTCTGATGGAGTGGGAAGAGCACTAAAGGCGTTCTCAGTGTATTCCGTGAATCCGGGCCAGTTAGCTTTTTTAAAGTTAACAAATGTCCGGTGGTCCGCGGAAACAAAGTCGGGAGGCCTATCAATCGAGATTTGTATGTGCAAGTGGTCCGATGATAACGTCAGTATAGGTCGCCAGACTATACTGTTTATCAGACCAGAACTCGCAATTGTTATGTCTGGCGAGCTTTGGCAATTACCCATAACTCTGGTGGGGTGTTGTCGTTCATTGTGCATTTCGAATCGTCTATCTGTTCTGCCAGCTCCATTCCTCTACGGTCATTTGACAGACTAGAATGCCAAATATCGTCATGCGCGTTAAAGTCGCCCAAAACCAAACGGTTCTCGCCCCTGAGTAGCGTAGGTAGCGCAGGGTGTATCCTGCTGGGCAACTTGTAACTGGAGGAATGTATATAGATCGAATATTTCGAGATAGACATCGACTGACCGGATAGCTATGCCCTGACATTCTAGGGTAATATCCCTGCGGTCGATGTCACCATCGATTAGACGATACTGCACGGTGTTGTGCAGGATGAACGCTAAGCCCCCACCATGGTCTCGCTCGCGATCCTTGCGCATTATGTTGTATCCGGTCCGGCTCAGAAGATGTGATCGTTCGGTCAACTTAGTTTCTGGATCGCAGCAATTGACAGGTGCTCCCGGCTCATGTAGTCGACTATCTCGTCGATCTTTCCGTTACAGTTGAATTGTAGGAGTCGGGTCTGTCTCAATCACGTTCGTGATACGGTGAATGAGGGAGTGATGCGTGGATGGTGTGTGTTGCTGCTGTAATACCCGCGAAGGTTGGTTCCGCACGTTGGTGTTAGTTGGCAGAGGGTTTGTCGAAACATGCGGGTGCAGACTCCTACAGCACGGGGCGACATACGCATCGCTCCACTCACAGGGGGCGCAGGCCAGAGCACGTCTGAAAGTGACACCAGCCAGAGCAAAAGTTGCATCTGACTGAGGTCACGTTCCGACGCACTATGGTCTGACAAACGAAACAGACTGTGCAGGGGATTAGAAGCTGCTGGGCAGCCCTCGCACGAGAGGAAGATGAGGAGCTGGTTGTGGGTAGGGATGGGGGTGGAGGTTGGAGGGAGTCATGCGGCGGGGAGCTCCGTGAGGCCGTGGAGGTCTGCTGATTACATAGAGTGGGTAAAGGTACTCAACTGCCGTTGAGGCTGGGGGGCGGTTGAACGCTGGCAACATGGGGCCACATAACTCGTGGTCCATTCCCTGTGAGTCTTAAGGCCTGAGCAGGTCTTAATGTGACTCCAAACATTCTACTGGTTGCATCTAACCGAGATGGAGGAGTGGTGGAGTCTTTTGTGGCACACGCAGCAGAAATAGTCCGTCGGACCAGGGTTGGTTTCTACACCAGCCTTGATCAGAAAGATTTGGAGCAACTCAGCTGCAAGGTGTTGCTCCATTGTCTAAACGGCGTAGAACCGACTGTCGCGAGAGTCGCAAAACTATTCTCTTTTCGCTCTGTTGAGTATTTTCGCTCAAGCTAAATAGATCTTTAGTTGGGTGACAGCATTAAGACCAAAACTAAACGATATTGACGTAAACAAATGTAGAGGTGTTAATGCATTCGTATTTGTCTTATTATTTGTACCGCAATTTCCCACAAAATAAAGAAAACTATAAAAAATTGCTTTCTACAAAAAGATAAGACCATAAAATAAAAAATTTACTCAGAAGAGAAATATAATCAAAACAACTGCATTCTCTTCCGATTTGTAAGTACGTATGATATGTATGGAGCGAAAGATAAACAAAACAACTTGTTTATGTTTAGTGCTGCCCGAAATCGTGTGAGTGTATTTGGAAACCCATCAGCCCGTTCTTGGAGGGTTCTATTATGCATATTCCACTGTCGTGTCGATTGCATTAGACAATGTATATCGTTGTGTACAAGGGTTTAATCGATTAATTTGTATGATCTTTATATCATACGATGTTGTTGATCAATTATTTCCTACAAATACGCTAAGGAAAACTTCACAATGGAAGGCAATAACACAGTTAATACATTTGATATGGAATTTTCCTATGGAGGGGCATTCGATTCTCTGGATATATTTAAAGAAGAAGACGCTATGAACATAATTAAAGACATGCTTCCTCTTGGTAAGGTGAATAAATCTGATATTATGATTGGTCTAATTGCGTTGTTCTTCAGAAATGGAGAGTTTTTTTGAAGATATCGATCAGATGGAACTTTCAGATGACGCTGCTTCAAGTAATCTAACGAGTGACTGTAATTTGGAACCTCTTGAAATAACTGAACATAGTACGTTGTTACAGTCGAAAGCTCCCAGTGCTTTCGTATTGCCATCGAGACAAGTTGGTACTCCTGAATTCGCAAATGCTGGTGAAATAAAGCAAGTATGCAGTTTAACTGCCTCAGATCCTGTTATGGCTGCTCACATGACTCCTGTTCTTAATTTGGCAAGTCCAAGCTGTGGCGAATTAAATGCAGCATCGTCAATTATAATCGAAAATCCAGTGGAAAAGAGGAATGGGTTTGTAAAAACCGAGTTGGTAGATATCTGTGGGCCGTTAATGAAAAATGAGCCAATTTTATCCGATTCAAGTTATTTTAATCCCAATACAATAAAAAAAATTGGATCAAATATGCAGAACAACATAACATCTAGAGAATTAATAAAAGCTGAAGTCAAAAATAAACAACAAGAATATGAAAAGGTATAGACAACTTTTTCTGGAGAAAGGATTTAAAGTTCATAGGATACTTCTCATAAGAAATATCCAAAAATTTATAAACACATATTTGTCTCTAATCAGTAGATACTGGTAGCAAAAAAAATGTGCGAGTAATTTATTTTTACCAAGAATTAATTAATATGTAATTTTTAACTTTGATGTTCAACGCAATCGCAATGGCAATTTTGAAAAGGAAATTCTCCTTCAAAATTGTAAATTGTCAAAACATATGAGAGTTGCTTTCGATCCCTTTCCGGTATTCATTAGAGCACTTTTTTTCTTACTACGCCACTTTTTATTGTTCCTGACAAAAATTAGACTGCGACACGTCTGGCGCAAATCGATCTCTCAGTCAAGCGTGTTTCCAATTAGAAAAAAAAATTGAGGAAATTAATTAGTAAAAGATTTGGAGTAAAAAATCTCTCTAGTCCGCACACTGTAAACTTCTAATGTAAAGAGTGAGTGTGGGGTCTTCCGTAGGAATTCAAAATAACGAATTCCACGCCAAAATACTTTGCTCAAAAAAACACAAGAGAGATCAGTTCAAACCCTGCGGGTTAACCGTACAATTTAATTTAGTTTTATGTTATATAAAATTTTGTTTTTTTAAGATGTGTATGTATAAAATATGTTTTAATTTAAAATTGCTAAGTTTTGTTGCTAATGAAAAGTTACTATTAATCAGTCCGATTTGTGAAATGGGCGGTTTTTTTATTCACGATTTATTCAAAAAATTCTTGTTTTAGATAACGATATTAAATTATTTTTATTACCCAAAACTATTTCATATAATAATGAGATGTCAGATACCTTAATAATTTAAATATTAAACTTATGAAAAATAGTTATGAAATAACTTATCGAATACTTTCAGAATAATCAACCAACTGTAGTTGCAGAAGACTTGAAAAATTTGCATCCGAGCCAACATTTGTTAATTCAAAGAAATCCCACAATTATGTATTCTACCGTGAGTACCACTCCAACAACATTCGTGAATGGGACTTCAATAATTTCACAAATGCCCGTTATATTTGAACCAACCCCTATAACTGCGTCAAATAACATCTCCAAAGTTGGTAACAATGCATCTATTGAAAATAAGGTACCAATCAACCGCATTCAACCAAGAAAAAAAGAAGTTAAAAGGTCTGCCCACAATGCAATTGAGCGTCGCTACCGTACCTCAATAAATGACAAAATATCAGAACTAAAAAATTTGATAATAGGCGAATCAGCAAAACTTAATAAATCCGCTGTTTTGCGAAAGTCGATTGATAAAATACGTGATCTTCAAAAGCAAAATTCTGAAATGCGCATGGAGATACAGAGGCTTCAAAATGAACTTCTCAATCAAAGCAATTGTAATGTCAAACATTTGCTGAACTCAACGTTCATTGAGAAAAATGACGATAAGAGAAATGCTATAAACTCTACTACCAAACTTGAGAAGCAAAGGATTATTACACCTCCTTGTAGTGATGAATCAAACGCCTCTTCGCGGTCTCCAACTCATTCTGATATTTCTTTACCTTGTTCGCCATTCAATGGATCTGTTAACAACAGCAATTCTTATAAAATAAAGAATATGTCAACTGCTATTCGTGATATGTCTCACTCACGACTTACTCTATGTATCTTTATGTTGGCTTTTATAGCAATAAATCCGTTCCAACTGTTTTTATCCAGAGCCAGCGAAACATTTGGCTTTTATGAAAATAATGGTAACTTTGACGGCATCACCCAGCGTCGAATTTTAAACATCGATGAACAAAGTAAGTATTTAACATTTATTTTTTTCTATTCGGTTGACGAGTTTTAGGATTTTAATATACAAAAGCAATGATTGTAGGCACGCGAGTAAATAAAACATTTCGTTTCATCCAAGAGATATAAAATACATACAACTAAAATCATAAGATATAATAAGTATAAGTCAATGACGGGTATTATTTTAATGCTTAACAAATTTATATATTTATTCAATTGCAGTAATTACCTTTATGATTACTAAGAAGTTTAATTTTCTCCATACAGGCACCAATAATTCTAAGATTTGGTATAACTACTTCTGCTCGTTTTTCTTATCTCTAATTAACTTCGTAATCATTATGACTTGCTTAATAAAGTTTGTTAAATATGTGAATCCACTCCGTAATATAAAAAATTCTGACTACAAGACCCAAAAGGAATATGGTGATAAATTGTATGAAAAGGTAATATATAATAACAAATTTTCCCCTTTTATTACAATTTATTATGTTTAGGGTGACTTGACAGGTGCCTATTTGGAGTACATGTCCTGTTTGAAAAGCCTTGGAGTGAAAATGCCGACATGCGCTTCTGATTTTGTGATTTTAACGACTTGGCAATTTATACGCCTTTTTATTTTCCACCTGAGGATCCGCTGCAAAATTTATAGAAAATCTGACCCAAATACTGAAAGTAAAGCTTCTAACGCAAGAGAATTGGCACTTTTTTTTAACAGATTGAACCAACTGCAGTTAACAACGGAAACAAATCCTGTGCATGGCTTGACAATAACGTTGTACGCATTAGATTTGGCACACACTGCACACAATATGCTTAACCACGAAGATATGACTACAATTTACTTAACATCAGCGTTACGAATAAAGCAATGCTCCCCAAGATCGTTGAAGTTTTTTATAAGATATTGCCTTAGAAAAGGAAAACAGGAGTGGTTTAAGTCCAGCGGGGAGAGCAAGCAGTATAATTGGATATTTACTTCTTTTGGGACCCAATACATAATTGAATCTGATTTTCGCACAAACAAAATAATGCTTATCGATGATAGTATTTTCACACAATTGCCGACAACTGCAAATCCATTATCATACTTACTCAAGGTATACGTTTTAAAGAAATTCAACATTTTTTTTAGATTTTTCTGACACCAATTTTTCCCCCAGAACTATCAAGAGTATTTATTACTGCAAGCTATTCAAAGCTTGGTTGGTTCGACCAGTAAGTTTTGTGAAACAAAAAAAACTAGCTTCAAGGGTCATGATACAATTAACAGTCGATATGGTGATAATACTATGGCTAGTAATGCAATGACATTTATTTCTATGCTAAGAGATTCATTTTGCCCCGACCATAATAATGAGAAAACTGAATGGTGGATTAATGTACTAGAGGTGTTCGTTTATTGGTTACTTGGCGAGGACTTGAAGGCGCAAGAATCATATCAACGTGCCAGAGTGTTGCCAAACGGATTGGAATCTAGTAATGATAGACTTCCAAAAGCTTTTTACTTAGCTATGCAATCAAAATTTTTATCTATGCAGTAAGTAAATACAAATTTATTTTCAATTAACAACAAAGATTTCCGATATACATTGACTTTCAAACATATTAAGCTTTATTGCAAACTTTCCACTTATTGCTTATTTTCAAATTAATATTTATTCAATACATTATATTTGCAAAAAATGTTGCGTTAATATTTTTACTATCGAAAGTTGACAGTTTTACTTACATTTGACAATTTTAATTGTAGGTATTGCTCTAATTTCGGTAGTCGGGACTCGAATGACATTATAAATATTTGCAACGTATCCGGAAACTGTCTCCAAGAATGTTTGACGCTTAATAAAATAACTAGTGTGAGAAAAATTAATTTGGTAAGTTGTAAACTATATCCTATACATATAAATTATCAAGGGAATAATCCTAAATCTTAGTAGGACTGTTTATTTTATCTATATATATCAGTATCCTCTGTGAAAATTTTCTACGAGCATTTGCTAGAGAAAGAGATCAACTTCTTTGTGTGATTGTGAGAGATTCAATTCAAACAACAACATCAAGCTGACAAGGTTGCTTTTTTTTCTTCATGCAATCCTTGTGCAGAAAATACTCGTATTCACAAAATTCTAGATTATGGGCGAACCTACAATAATAGTAGTAAAACTTACATAATTCTATTGAAGAAATCAAGGTACAAGTGAGGTTTTTATTTCTCTTCTTAAGAACTTCAGAGAGTTGGTTTGTGTAATCAGGTAAAGGTTATTTAGAATGGGGTGTATTGGACTTTCGTTACCTTTTTTATGTACATTATATATGTGTTTGCAGAAATTCTTGAGATTCTATGTATTCAACCAGTTTTTTGTTTATGCAAAGATTAAAACGTTTCAAAGATATTATTTTATTGTATTATGACCTTTACGGCCGTTAAATAAAAGTAAAAAACTTTAGTTGTTCTTTTTTTTCCTCCTACACGATTCGATACATATTTGTATCTTCCTCAGGGAAGAATACGTTATTCACACACATTACATACAGACATCTTTTTTTTTTCTAACCACAATTAATTAATTAATGTTATTGGTCCTAATATTTCGACTGATCACATTCAGTGCAATATATACAATAATGTTATATATCAGTTTTTATTTTTTGATTTGTTATGATCGCTGTGTATGCGCAAATTATGTTGTCTACATCCTCTTTGTAGTTCATTGCACAGTGTATTTTTTGTTGTATTCGAAGTCCTTCTAATGTCATTCGTTCTCTAGTTTTCTTATACGCTGGTATAAGAAGTGTATTATATCTGAGGGGGATTCGGAATTCTCGGGCTCAAATCCTGGTACGACCAATATCCAAAAGTTATAGAAAATTAAATAAAGAGAACGTCAACCCATTCGTTTGTATTTATGAAGTGAAATAAAAGCTCAGCATAAAAAAACATCAGCCGTTCGGAGGCGGCTTGGTATAAACTGTAGGTCCCTCCATTCGTTGGAAAAACATCGACGGAAAACCACAAATTGGAGGAGGAGCTCGGCCGAAAATCGCTCTAGCGGTTACAAAGCGCCAATTATATATATAAGGTTTCTGTTTATATATTAGTATTTAACTTGAGTAATGTCTTTAGTTTACAGTAGTGGAGAGAAGTCTCTTTCAGCTGCATCAAATCTGTTGTTGCTGGGGTAATACGTTTGCATAGCCTTTTTCTTAAGATGTTTTAAAAGATTGTATGTTATGTATGTTTAATTATCTTTCCCATAAGGGGCATTCAAAGTATACACATTCTCTGTTTACAGCCTTTTAAGTTACAATTTGGGCATCTTAGATTGGATTTATATACCAGCCGATTGTGTCCTAAACGTCCCCACCTTTTGCATGTCTGTACGGAATCAAAAACGATACATTGCGTTTTGTATGTTCAAAAATTCTGTCTTGAAGTACCGGAAGTTTCAGAGGCCATGCTTGGTATAAATGAACGTAACTCTTTTTCTAATATTTTTTTGTTTGTTTATAGTAAATCGATATAAGAAATCGATTTGAGGTGTTAAGAAATTCATTCGATTTTATACAATTTCGATCTTAAATTCGAAACAGCTGATAGTCAAACCACCGACATTTACAGGCCTATTGTCACTGTTACCAGTAAAGTAAATTTTGTTACTTTTTTTTAACACCCGAAATTAAATATGGTATTCCGGCGCACAGGTAACATTGTTTAACAAAGCTTTGGCACACAACATGGTTATTGAAAATTACTCTTTCTACTTAATACAGAAATAACTGAAAAAAGAGAAGGTTGTCCTCCAAAATTTTAAGATATATCTCTAATGCTTCAGATATTCCAGAGGCAGTGTAAGCGCATAAGGTGTGTGACAGCGTTAACGTACGAACATGAAGTTTTAAAAATCTATGGCTGATACCGTCACCGCCTTTGATCTTTTCCTTGCCGGCACTTGGTTTTAGAACATTTTTACACGGTTTTTTAGTAAGAGGTGCTAAATAGCCTGTTATTCCGGTAGGTTTTAATTTTGTAAGTGTAATTTTTTTTTTGACATTTTTAAAGCAAAAGCTACGCTAGTAATAAAAATGGAAAAGCACACGCTTCAGCAACGCATTGGAATTATTAAAGTTCATTATAAAATTTAAATCTAAAAATCATCATGACTGTTGGGATCCATTTCCACCTCGATTGTTGCTTCAGTTAGCAAAACCGTCACATCTGGAGCTCCGAAATCCCAAGATTTATTGTTGAAAAGCCTCTCCATCCTTAATGTGTAACTTTTTAGATCGGTTCATTGGCCTTTACCTTTTCGAAAATGAATGGTTTGCGCTATCGGGGGATGATAAATGATTTTTTATAGCCGGGATTGGGTGATTTTAACCTGGAAAGCGTTTACTTGCCATAAAAGCAACAAAAACAATCGATCTTTTAAAGGAAAAGTTCATTTGAATATCAAAATAACACCTCTTATTGGAAAACGCAGTATATTTCTTTTTTTTTAAGCAGAAAGGGTAAATAACGCATTCCGAAATGCTCAGATTCTCTGAGGGAATGTATTATCATGTTTGCAAGTTTGAAGAAATAAATTGTTGTTTCATCCTGAGGCAGCTTTTTATTTGCACTATCTTTTGCTTATACATACATAAATGTGTATTATCGCCCGCATTTCTCCATACTATGTAAAACCGAATTCGCGAGAAAAATAAAAAGAAAATGTGCAATACAATACAATACAATACAATACAATACAATACAACATACAATTGCAGGCATGTGAAAATTTTTTGTTTATTTTTTTAAGTTTTGTAAATACTTTGCCTAAATACTTAATAATAAAATCATTTATTTTTTTTTTTAGATGTTTCAACTACTAACTTGTGATTGGATCCTCGAAACTAAAACTCAACTATGGGAAGCAGAATACATGCGCGCTGATAAAGTTGTGAACAAACAAGTTCCCAGTGAATATTTGGAAAAGTTTCAAAAAGACCTAAATTCCATGCGTCACATTATAGAGGCTTTACAAGTAATTACTCCATTTTTTCATTTATAAGAGTAGTCGTTACAATGCCAAGCTTATTCCCAAGCTTAATGCTCTCAGATCTATTTTGGAAATATTAAATATATATTTAATCTATGCCAAGGCTACTAAGAAAACAAATTACCAGAACTTAGTTTTCGTAGAAGCAAACTTTGGACACAATTAAAAACGTCCTAAAATATGCTGCAACGGAAATCAGTTATCTGAAGCAGAGGTGGTAAACTAACGAAACGATGCCATTCGGTTTTGTAAATTTGAAAAATGAACTTAACGAATTTATTGTGTTTCCGCAGAAACTCAGCTTTAGCGTTATTAATTTCAATTTTTTAACCGCATTCTTCAATTTGAACGGTTTAACATTAACGGTAGCTTTTCGTTTCGGTTTAAAACGACATAAAATTCATCTTTAACTAGTATTAATTGGTACCGCTTACGCAATTATTATTCCATTAAGCATACATATTAAAAATAAAAATTTAATATGTTGTAATTTTTAACTTTTAACCTTAGGTGACATAATATTAAAAATATTGTACTACATACTAAATATCCTCTTTTCTTTAGATTGGACAACAACGAATCTATTTGTACGAAGCCGTGTGTCGCCTTATGGCAGGAGTGGCACCTGGGCCGACCCAACAACTTTTGGATCGAAGTTTGCGCCATAGATCTCTGCGATCATCAGCTATATGTGGTGGGAAAGATAAAAGCAATATATACGAAGGATTTGAGCGTGAAAGAGCCACAGCAATTTATATCGCATGTAAATATTTGCCTACCGCATTGATTTGCTCACCAGGCGAAAGGGTTGGAATGCTAGCTGAAGCGGCAAAAACTTTGGAAAAGGTGGGAGACAAAAGAAAACTAAATGATTGTTATAAGTTGATAAAGTTTTTTGATGGCAGCATGGATGTGCTCGATTAAATTGCCTTTTTTATTGTTATGAACATTATTAGTAGTCATTAAATAAAAAGTAGAAGTAAGCAAATACAATTGTCTAACTTTTATTCACCAATATGCCACGCAAGTACAGTACAAGAATTAAACTTTTTTGTAGAAAATAGTTCACATTGATTATGCATTTAATTTTGGAACTGAATCTGATCATAAGATGATATTGAAGCTATTTCAACAGCAAGGGAATGTAAGAGAAGATTCAAGCAAGACCGAGTACCGGATGAGACCCGACAACCTGTTGAGTACCGCATGTAGTCCTATAAATGTAAATATATGGTCGTCTCCACAAATTTCACGAGCTCGGCCGAATACGGCACTTAGTGCAAAAGTGGTCCCGAGCTATCCGCCTTTCATTGTTCATTCCTATATTTTTCCAGCATAGGCAAATCAACCGTCCGTAGGCTTTTTGCACTTTTGTAAATACCAACGAGACTGTAGGTCAAGCTAAGGAGATATTGAGGCATTGCCCATAGACCGTTGATAAGAGCCTTCTGCCAAGAACGGAAATGTTGATAAAGTACAAGTAGGATAGATAGACTTGTCTTCAATGACATCCATCCCTATTTCAAAGGCTTCTTTGTTAAGACGATATTAGTCTATGGTTCTACATACAAATAAATTTTGTGTTATTGTAGGAAATGTAGAAGATAAAAGCAAGGGTGACTTCCAAAACGTCAGTTGCACAGCAACCATACATTGTCATGCATCCCTAAATGCAACTGTGCAAACTTTGACTTCGATTTCATAACACAATTTCAAAAAGATATTGATTTTCAGTTCCGATAAATAAGCAATTCATTGTCGGTTTCTATAACACTCCCGATTATAAATTTCTGAACACGTCAGATTAAAACAAGGTGGTAAATAGCCAAAAATTCATACGTTTCCATAACATGCGATTTCAAAGTTACGTAAGATTGATTACACTTTCTGTTTAAAGTTAATAAATCTAGAATATAGTGTCGAAGTAACAACAAATCTATTTCTCTTTCTAAAAGAAACACTTGAAGATAAAGCTGTAACATTTTGGTTTATTATTAAATTATGATTAACTTGGTAAATAGACGAAATCATTGCCATATATCTAGAATTCATATTTAAATACAATTATACTTGATTAGTAGAGCTTTCCTTTAATTTGGCTTTGTAGACGATTTATACTGCTGAATACACTGATAACGTTTAACGAAAGAAAAAAATCAAACAATTTTACTCATCCAACAGTATTATAAACCCGTATTGTCTTAAATTTTTCGTGTTATGTCTATAACTCCTCCAGGTCCTGGTAAGCTGCTAGGAACTCCCATTAGATAGGAATCTATTTGCCGGGCAGCTTGACGGCCTTCTGTTATAGCCCAAACGACCAAGGATTGACCTCTGCGACAGTCTAAAAATGTGGAATAGAAATAAAAGTTTTTTTATGAAAAAACTACATATGCAGAAAAAATTTATTTATAAAAGTACTTTAGCTCGGGGGAAAAATTTGGATGTATGAAATGTATGTAAAGACAGAGTTATAGTTTTGCCGTACAGCTCAATAATTTTACAGCTAATCTACTTTCTACTTTGTTATTGTTTCACACAAACATTTTTATTTTATAATTGGCCTTAGGCTGAATATCGTCTACGTCTTCACTGAGGATGGTCAATATTCATCGTCACTTTCATCGCTTTGTCTTTGTTTATGTTTCCTGTACAAGCGATGCAGACCGGTGCACGGGAAAATTTTTTGTTTTGGGAAATTTATTTGTGAAATTATGGTTTTTTTCAGTTTATTTTTATATTTTGATATACCAATCATATATTTAAACTGTGAAAAAAATATGGAATAATAGTTTTTCTTTTCAATCTCAAGCGATGGAGAAGAGAATAAAAATTTAAATGTTCATCAGAATACAAATCAATGACTGTGGCGATCGTTGTCGAATTTGTACTGCGCTAAGTGCCGGCAATGGGTACATCATCTACTGATGGAACATCTACTAGAGAATATTCCTCGTTTGCCACTTCATGAACTCTCTCTGAATCTGTGTGAATTTTTTTCATGTTATAAATATATCTTGTACCAACCACCGCCATATCGGACTGATGTTCCTATCGCATTAATTTTTGTGGCAATAACTTCCCACTCCTCTTCGCAATTGTTTTTTTTGGAAAACCCTGGCTATAAGTGGCTTATTTTCCAATTCTCTCACAAGAAACTCAAATTGGGCGCTTATCGTTAGCCGGTTTAATTTCTGTATCGTCTATTACGTTCAAGAATCGTCAGTAAAATGACTGACGATAAGAAACAATAGAAAACGTTGGCGATAACGCTGACAAGCATACCGCAACAGCGTCGTCTGACGGTACTGTTGACGATGACGTTGAACGTCATACGAATGATACCGTATCGTCGATTTCACTGTCGATGGCGATATTCAGCATAAGGCCGATGATTTGTATTAAAAAAGAAAACGTTATTGCTTACATTCTTTGTGGCGATTAGGCATCGAGTACGCGATTTATCAGTCAAATAAACTCAAAACTTACCTCCAGCTGCGAAAACTTTGGAGTTTGAGGTTCCAAACTGGCCGTTGCATGCCTTTATGTTTCCGCGACCATCTAGATCGAGGCCAATTTGTTCAGGCAAAGACTTTTCTGGACCTAAAAAGCCCATTGCCAATAAAACTAGATCAGCGGGATAATGTTTTTCGCTCCCAGGTATTTCAGTCATTGCCCACTGTCCATTCGGTTTCTTTTCCCATTCGACTTGAGTAGTCTTTATAGCTTTAATACTTCCGTTTTCTCCCATTAGCTCCTTAGCCGTTGTGCAGTACTGACGAGGATCATTACCAAATTTCACACGAACTTCTTCATGTCCGTAATCGACTCTGTGAAATAAAAAACAGTCTTTTTAATAGTGATTCAGGAAGAAACACATATTACTTTATCTTACCTAAAAACCTTAGGCCACTGTGGCCAAGGGTTGTCATTAGCACGATGTTTAGGAGGTTCTGGTAATATTTCAAAGGTAGTAATACTTTTAGCACCTTGCCGCAGAGCAGTGGCTATACAATCACAGCCGGTGTCACCACCTCCAATTATTATAACATCTTTATCTTTTGCAGATATGACACTATTATCGCCACCAAGTTGTTTTTTCTGTTGAGATTCCAGAAACTCCATAGCAAAGTGAATTCCATTTAAATCTCTGTTGGCTAAGTTTAAGTCCCGTGGGAAAGTTGAGCCAGTGGTAAGTAGCAAAGCATCGTATCTTAAAAATAATTATTTGTATGATAACATATTCTTATCCAAGTATTTCATATACTTACTCCTCTAATAACGTTGATCCATTTATGTCCTTGCCAACATAAGAATTAGTTCTAAACTCTATTCCCTCATCTACCATTAGATCAATTCGACGCTTAACTACAGCTTTAGATAATTTCATAGTTGGAATACCATACTGCAATAAACCTCCTGGTCTATCATTTCTTTCAAAAACAGTAACAAAATGACCAGCTCTATTTAATTGACTTGCTGCTGCTAGACCAGAGGGACCGGAACCAACAATTGCTACTCGCTTACCAGTGCGTGTACTGGGTACATCAGGTTTCATCCAACCTTGTTCAAATGCATGATCAATAATAGCACATTCAATGTTTTTAATGGTTACTGCAGGCTCTGAAATACCTAACACACAGGCTCCTTCACATGGGGCTGGACATACCCGACCAGTAAACTCTGGAAAATTATTTGTCTGTAAAAGTTGTCGCAAAGCTTCTTTCCAATCATTATTAAAAACAAGATCATTCCACTTGGGAATAATATTTCCCAATGGACAACCATGGGTATTTGACTGACAAAATGGAACACCACATTCCATACAGCGAGCAGCTTGTGTTTTCAAATTTTTGCGAACATGTTTAAAATTGTAAACTTCTTCCCAATCATTTTGGCGTTCTTCGGCATTGCGATATACATTCACGTCCCGCTTATACTTAATAAATCCACGAACCTTGTCCAATGGTTGCTCTGCCACCTTGTTTTGAACGGTTTCTTCAATATCTTTTATAAGCGGCTCATTTCGAGTTGCTTTTATATCTTTTATTTCAGTCGGAATTTCATTTATTTCGGAAGATTGTGAGTTTTCTAGCGCCCGTAGAGCCTTTTGATATTCATATGGAAAAACTTTTAAGAACCTATTCCGACTTTCAGTCCAATTAATGGATATTTCCGTTGCCACTTTTGAATTAGTTTTTTGTATAAAATCATCCAGTAAGCTCTTAACCAGAGTTATGTCTGATTCAAGTTCCAATGGAAGGACAGCAACTGATTCCGGATTCACTTTTGCATTAAATGAACCATCCACGTCATAAATATAAGCTATTCCACCAGACATCCCCGCAGCGAAATTTCGTCCGGTCAAACCTAGAATAACTACAACACCTCCGGTCATGTATTCACACCCATGATCTCCAACACCCTTAAAAGAAGTGTTTATATATGATTTCAAAAACATTTAAAAGTATAAAAAAAATGAATATATACCTCGACAACCGCTGTAACGCCAGAGTTTCTTACACAGAATCTCTCAGCCGCAATACCTCTGAAGTAGGCTGTACCTTTGGTTGCACCGTACAGACAAACGTTTCCTACTATTACGTTCAAATGAGATTCAAATACTGAATTGTCCGGAGGCATTATAACGATGCTGCCGCCACAAAGACCTTTGCCGACATAATCATTGGCATCTCCTTTTAATGTTACACTTACGCCACTCGATAGAAAAGCGCAAAAACTTTGACCAGCAGATCCTTCTAAGAAAATATCAATGCTTTTACCAGGTGGTAAACCATCTTCCCCATATTTGCTGCAAAGAGATGTGAAAAACAACCATCAATTTATACTGTTTTACAGTTCAGGAGAGAACATCATTGACTCACCATGCAATATGATAACTGAGTGTTGATCCAAAAGCACGTTCTTCGTTATTTATACGCATTTTGATGATTGTATTATCATCTGATCCATCGAAAACTTTTCGCGCCATTTCAATCAGCTTGTTGTCTGCTCGTTTCTCCAACTGGAAATCCTGTGAGATAGAACCCCCTACTATATTTGTTTTCGGCCGTAGTTCCAAAGCATTCTTCAAAAGTAAAGACAAATCTAATAAATTAGTTTTGCCGCCTCTTTTCTTAGACACTTGAAGTAAATCAGTGCGTCCAATCAAATCTTGAAATTTACGAATTCCCAAATTTGCCATGATTTGACGAATCTAAAAGAAAATGAATACAAAGTCGCAGCATTAACAATAATAAATTTTAATAAGGGGCAGTGATAATAACTTGTAAACATAAAACCAATTGTTTTTAAATACTTTAAGTAACGTTTAGAAAATTTTTGATTAACTAAACTTAAATAATTTAGTTTTTGCTTACTTAAATTAATAGCTATATAAAAATTTTACTTATTTATTTTGTTTTACGAGTATCTTCTATAACTCAAATATTCGTAGCTACTTACGTCTTCTGCCAACATGAAAAAGAAATTTATAACATGTTCTGGCTTTCCTGTGAACTTCTGCCGTAGCACCGGATCTTGTGTTGCAATACCGACTGGGCATGTGTTTAAATGACATTTTCTCATCATGGTGCACCCTAAAAGTATATCAAAATTAAAGCATTCATAATTAATGGAAAGTATGAATGTATATACAATATGTATAAGCGAAGAGTTTGATGAGTAGTACTATATGTAGTTCTTCCAAGATTACAATAATCTCTATTTTTAAGATTTTATGATCTTTGGATTTAAATGATCCAATTTCTTCATATAATTCTCAATAGCTTGAGTCATCGAAATTTTCTTTTTTGTTGTAAAAAAACTTACCCATAACTATTAGAGGCGCTGTACTGAAACCGAATTCATCAGCCCCAAGCAGTGCGGCCACCACAACATCAAATCCTGTTCGTAGTTGCCCATCAGCTTGTAGTACAACTCTGCAAGGAGATTATTATTATGAAAGACGTTAATAGTTAATGTTATTAATATTGTTAAAGCCGATGGTTATATCTAAGTTTTTTTTTTTATGTAGTAGACATCTCTTTTATCTCTGTTATCTCAAACACTAAAACTTATTAGAAATAGATGAAGATTTGCTTTGAGATTATTCATCGCGACGAGTTTTATCGCTCAATCAGGTTATGTTCTACAAAATTTTGGATTGGCTCTGATGTTTGAGGCAATAAGTTGAAAGTTGAAAGTTGAAAAAGCGTGATCTCGGACATTTTAAAGCACTGAGAGAGAATATATTAATGAAACACTTTATCGTGGTTAATATGCAAAACGTCTGAGATCCATTAAACACTTGTACCCAAAACCGATAGAATCTTCTTTTTTTTCATGAACAAAAGCAAAATTACCAATTGTTTACAGTCAGTTTTAAAGCTTTCACAACAACGCAAAAGACATAAGAACCGTTATTTTACTTTAGTAAACAAAAAAATGTTGAAATTTTGATGAGTCGTGATATTATTTTTTATCTCTTGGCAGAATTGTATATACTCTTTTTGATAATTTAAAATAATTTAGTAACATTAAGTGCTGAAAATAATGAATCTATATTTACCTTGAGCGCAGATTGTTTAAAACTAGAACTTGATGTGTTTCGGCTACCCCCAATTCCCATGGGAGTCCAGCATGTTTAATACCAGTCCAAGAACTAGCTCCAGTGCCTCCATCATGACCAGAAATGACAATGTGCTCAGCTTTGCCCTTAAAAAATACCACATAAAAAGTTATAAATAAGAAATATAATTGCTTTTGCAATTCAAAGCACCTTGGCGACACCAGAAGCCACTACTCCAACGCCGACTTCAGAAACCAACTTAACACTGATCCTTGCCTTGGGATTTGAACATTTTAAGTCATAAATCAACTCTGCTAAATCTTCAATAGAATAAATATCGTGATGTGGGGGAGGTGAAATTAGGCCAACGCCTGGCACAGAATGACGAGTCTTGGCAATTTCTTTGGTAACTTTATATCCAGGAAGTTCTCCTCCTTCTCCAGGCTTAGCCCCTTGAGCCATTTTAATTTGAAGATCGTCGGCATTCGCAAGATAAGCTGCTGTTACTCCGAAACGGCCGGATGCAATTTGTTTAATAGCTGACCGTCTACTATTATTAGGGTCTTTTTCTATGAAATGAAGATTAACTCATTTTAGTTTATCAAAAAACGAAATTGTATTAATTATACATTGAGCGAGACTTGGACGGAACTAACTCTGCTAAAAAGGATTGTTTTTTATTTACTTTGATGGAATTTATTCTCTTCTTTGTTATATATGCTGTTAAATGCCACACTACACAATCGCAGAACAAAAAATATTGGGTTGCCTCAAAGAAACCGGCGATTTTTCATACAGACGGCGTTGATAATTTTTTTTTTAAAGCTAGTGACTATTTATTTGTAAAAATAAAAGGACGCGTAATTGTGTTTATATTTTTTGGTTTGTCAAATTCCGTTCGAGAGATTTTTCACTCAAAAATTGACTTGATATTTGAGTACCACATGAATTGAAAGAAATTAATTTAACAGCCGCTTCAACGCTTGTGATATGCATCTTAATAGCAATGAATATGATCCGTTTTTGAAGCAAATCATAACATGATGAAAATGATTATTTACAATAACGTCAATCGAAAACGAGCATGACCCAAACATGATGCCACAAAGTACTTCAAAGGCTGATATTCACCAAAGAAGATTATGCTGCCAGGTTGGTGGTATTGGAAATGTGTGGTATATTTTAAGCGACTTCCAAGGAACCAAACGGCTAATTCGGATGTCTACTATGAATAACTAGTCAAAATGAATACATCTATCAACGAGAAGCGGCCAGAATTGTCATATTTCCAAGGATATTGCTAGACCGCACACATCTTTGGTCATTCGCCAAAAACTGAGAGAGCTTGGCTGCGAACAGTTGATGGATCCACCATATAGCCCTGACCTTGCACCGTCAGACTACCATTTGTTTCGATCTTCGTAGAACTCATTTAATGGCCAGAAGCTCTATGAGCGTGGAACAATGATGTTGCCGGAAAGATGGCGAAAGATCATCCAACAAAATGATTAAAGTTCATTATAAACATGAAAAAAAAATGTATATAATCGCCGGTTTCTTATGGGGCAAAGCAATAATTGTGTTGTATGAGGTGTGACCATAAAAAATATACGTTGTTTTCAAATTTCGTGAGATACGTATGTTCGAATTTCGGTTTTTTTCTTTATGTTGGTACACATGTCTGTTATAAATGTTAAAAATGTCAGGCATTTTAGATTTTCAGCTTGTTTTTAGGAGATAAAAAGGTTAGTCGTGCTTTGCTGTGCTCTTTGCTTTTTTATTATTCGAAAAAATGGATCAAAGAAACTGTATAAAATTTTGTGTAAAAAAAAGAAATTCAATTCGCAAGAACATTTGAAATGTTGACTATGGCGTTTGGCAAATCAACTATGAAACGATGAAAGGTAAGCTTTTTGCTACGATTGATATAAAAGAAAAATCGAAACAGGAGCTATTGGCGACACCAAAACTCGCGTTTCAGAAGTCTCGAAGATTGGAAAAACGCTTCAGTGTATTATATCTGAAAGGAATTACTTTGAGGAGGAAAGCATAGTTATTGATGAATAATTAAATTCTTTTTAGAAAAATTAAAAATAACCGTTATTTTTTTTATCACACCTCGTATGGACCGAATTTTTTTATCTACCTTTATGGTAAATTTGAATGAATAATGCTCATAAAGTTAGTACTCACCTAAGTAGCGATCAGAATTTTCGCCTCCCTCGCCGGTGTTACTTTTTCCTCCAATTCGATTCATAGTAATAGCTAGAGTTTGATGTGCCTCGAGGGAAATACTTCCGAAACTCATGGCACCAGTAACGAACCTTTTAACGATTTCTGAAGCTGGCTCTACCTCTGAAATATCTACTTTTTCTCGATCGGTTACGAATTCAAGTTGGCCTCTAAGTGTGCACTTTTTAACGCTGTCCAAAGTAGTTGATTTATATGCTTCAAATGAATTCCAGTTTTTACTTTCAGCCGCCTCCTGTAGGCTTGCAATAGAAGCAGGTTCATTTATATGCGCTTCTCCACCATGACGCCAATGATAGTTACCAGGATTTCTTAGGATACGTGTATCAGATAATGTATTACCAAATGCCATATTATATCGCTCCAAAGCCTCCTTCGCTACTATTTCTAAACTAATACCACCGATCCGACTCGCTGTTCCACGGAAACATTTATTAATTAATTTTTCTCCAATTCCTACAGCCTCAAATATTTGAGCACTCTTATAAGATTGCAATGTACTTATACCCATTTTAGCCATTACTTTTGCTACACCCGTTTCTATAGCCTTGGCGTAAGCAACATAGATTTGTTTATCGCTTACATCAGCACTTATGACACAATCATCTCTTAGTGCCTGGGCGAGCTCAAAAGCCAAATACGGACAAATAGCATCGGCACCATAGCCAAGTAATACGCAAATATGATGCACTTCACGAGCCTCGGCTGTTTCTACAATGATACCAACTTTCATACGTTGCAGGGTTTCTATTAAGTAATGGTGCAATGCCCCCAAAGCAAGCAAGGCCGATACGGGTACTCTTCCATGACTGGCATTGCGATCAGATAGAACTAGCAGCTGATAACCTGAAGATGCAGCTTCGAAACCTTCACGGCAAATATCGTCAATGCAGTCCATGTAGCCCTTAACGCCATCTTCAAATTTAAATGTTATGTCCAATACTTTAGTCTTCCATCCTCTATGAGTGTTCCTCTTTAGTAAATTTGTATCGGGAATACTTAGAATGGGATTTGATAACCAAATTCGATGAACTTGTTGAGAAGATGGTTCGAGCAAATTGGCTTCAGGTCCTACAGGGCATTGCATTGACATAACAACCTTCTCCCGAAAGGGATCAATAGGTGGATTCGTTACTTGCGCAAACAACTGTTTAAAATATTCATATGGTAAAGGCTGAAACGAAGATAGACACGCTAGGGGAGCATCATTTCCCATTGAACCTAGTGCTTCCTTGCTGTAACAAAAAAAAGAGTATTAAAATAGTAAAAAAAATAACATTTAAATGACGATTTTTGTGGTTCTTATTCCACTCTAAAATGAACTTTCTTTGTGTAGGAGTACAAAAATAATCTAAAAACCGAATCTGAAAAAAAAACACATTTGTGTTTACAATAGTTTCGAACTTATAATATATATATAATTGGCACTTTGTATCGAGCTGATCCTCCAATATGTGGTTTTTCGTCTTGATGTTTTTCCAACAAAATGGAGGGAGTTATAGTTTATACTAAGCTGACTCCGAACGACTGATGGTTTTTTTTACGAGGAGTCTTTATTTCATGTCTAGAATTCAATCGGTGGGGTGGACATTCCCTTCCGACGGGTGACCGCAATCAGAAAATTTAACTTAATTTTGTATTTAAATGAATTTTCATAACTTTTTAGTGTTAGTGGCACCGAGATATGAACCCGAGCATTCCGAATGTCAGTACGCAATGCTAACCACTCGGCTACCGCGGCCGTCACTTATAATAAACAAAGTAACTATTTATGTGATTTAAATAACGTGGTGTAAGCATAGCATTAAAATAAATAAACCGACACATAAAAGGATATATTTACCTTGTTTTGAACATAGGTAATAGAAGCATGTTAATAGTTTCAGTTGTGTATCCAAACAGGAGGAGTCTTGGATCAAACGTGTAGTTCATTAACGCTTTCACAAAAGATTTGTCATCAACTGACTCGTGATGCATCATGTTTGCGTTTCTTATTTCATCAATGGTTATCTGAAATAAAGTACCAGAAGACAGAGAAACTAATTAAAATATGATTTTGAAATAACGGCCTTCAGTAAATTTTGCAGTAGAAAAATTCAAAAAGAAAACTATCTACGATATATATATATATACAGGGTCCGCCACGTAACTTTTTTTTTTAAATGCGCTTTGTACGGTGTCATACCAAGGTCTTTTTCCAAAATTCGCCTAAGGGACGTCTCGGAAATGTCCAATTGTTGAGAGCGACGCTTCGCTGATGTTCCGGGCGCCTCACGCACACTCTCGGCCACAGCAGCGATATTACCGGCAGTTCGCACTTTTTTTGGTTTCTCACGCGTTGGTTTATCAATAATTGTGCCGGTTTCTCTCAATTTTTTCAAAAGAAAGCGCACATTTCGCGGAAGGATAAAACTAACTTTCTGTCATTAGTGTTACCACACTCAAAATAACCACTAGTTCAAAAAAAAAAATGTTAGATGGCGGACCCTGTATATATATACATATATGCACAAATAATTTTTGCAATGACAAACAAATTTTCTTGTACGTGCATTTTTATAACAACAAAACAGCCAAAAGGTAAGTTAAGTTTAAAACCCGTCTAACGGACTTTAAGATTTCAGCATATAATTTTTATCTCGATAATAAAAAGACCGCAAAATTCGGAAAAATTATGTCGTCCCCATATAAAAACTCTATTCTGCTAATCTTACATTTCTCGTGGTAAGAAACTTGAAATTCATTGTACCTTTTTCTAAATGAGTTCAGTGTAAACTCTACTACGGATTGAACTCATGTTGGTTTTTTTTTTATTTTTTTATTTTTTTTTTATCATATCGAGATATCTTAAGAAGCTGGCAATATTCAAAAATACATATCCAAGATATGCTGACGTTAACGTTAAAAAACGGCAATGCTAAAAACTCAAATACGCAGCTGAACCTAACTCTGTCACCTGTTTTATTGGCAAATTTTAATTTTTTTAGCGTTAATGAATAAAATATTAAAATGGCATGTAGGTGATCTTCACTAAGATTATGAATACAAGTAAAGCAGACATCTACTATATTTTGATTGGAAGTTAGTCTTCAAATGACGTTTGTGCCTTGATTAGGTAAGATGTCGTTGAAGTGATTTAGGTTATAGGCGACTTGAACATACAACAACAACTGTGGACTTTGTTCTGTAACTTGGGCAGAAAAAGATTGACGTTAAATCATACTTACCTACTGGACATATTCTTTTGTAAATTTTCTACGATATGATGTATTTTATTTTTTTTTTTTATTTTTTTTTTATTAACCGATTGAGAGGTCAAAATAATAGAACAGCGAATAGGTATGTCATGGAGTTTTGAAATTCTTTAATCGTGAGGAAATTTCTTACTCACATAAATGTACATACGTGTATGTATATGTATATATGTATGTATATCTTTTAAATCGACTTGGACAAGTAATAATAAAATGAGATTGCTATAAATTAAAATTTTTAATTAAAAAAATTAACTCAAATTTTTAGAGGAAAATATATCTTTAAAGACTTTGGAGTTTATTATAATAATAATTTTTTACAAAAAAAAATATAATTCAAACATTTACTAGAACAAATATTTCTCAATATTTCACTCATTATTTCTTTTAGCGAAAAATCGGAGAGCTTAAGTATTATTAAAACTTTTATGATATTTTCCCATTCTCGTAACAATATTGTTAGATATGGCTGTCTGATTGAGATTTTTTTTCAGACTTATTATGCTATGATATATGTGCGAAAATCACTTTCTTAGCTGCTTCGTTTGGTATCGCTACTACCAAATTCGCATATATCTGAACAATCTGTTGTACCGAAGTACCGTTAACCGTTGTGGCCGACTCCCATAGTAAAATTCTCGAAGCCTGTAGGTGTCAGTTTACTTATAAGTGCACAGACGGACATGGATAACACACTTAGTATTTAGGTAAATATTTATGTATAGTGAATTTTATTAGTTTCAACACAAAATTCCGTAATTAATAAATTTGCTAACTTTTAAAATCACATATTTTATAACTTACCAGCTTGCGTTCCATTACATTACGGTTTGCAACAAAGAAAAAAATTTATTCATACATTAATTTCATTTTATCGAAGTCTTAAGAGAATCATTTATGTATTAAAAAATGTGTTGTTTGAGCATCACTAAACATATTTAAGCCGGCGTTGTATGCATCTATGAATGCATGCGTTAAAGCGCAGTTGTGTACTTAGCACCACGGTGCACGACATGACATATACATATAAAATTTGTTTAAGGCAACAAATGCCTTGGAAGATTAATTTTTAAACATGCTATATTTTCTCTTACATATGTATAAATATTGTCATTACTATGATGTTTGTTTCACTTTATGGCTTCGTTATTTTAAAAGTAATGAAGCGGCATAGTCGTGTGCCTATAATATATTTATGATATTTGTCGCACAAGAATATCGCCTGATGTATACCTTAGTATTTGACGCTCAGGAAATAAAATTAAGCTTGAAAGTGCTGTTCCTTGTTAGTATGTTTGCTAGCTTGGTTAAAGTATTATTTATTTTTTTTTTTAATATTTAAAGAAGATTTCGGAAGCAAGATTGGCATTCGTTCATTTTTTATCAATTAATTCCTTATGTCCATATTCGGATATTTGATACTGTGTACATAATACATTTACTTAAGTCAATTGTCTATCAACAAGAACAGCCTCCAAAATAATGAAATTTCTCCTAAACAAGTGCTCTTCCTCAATCAGTGAGTTTCATACACATTGTAGAAGAAAATGGTACCAAATGGTAAATGGACTCCATTCGCTATTTCTTTCCTAAATATATATACTTTTTTTAACTTATCAACAAAGAGGAAGCAAAGTAATCGGATATTATTTTATTATAATTAAAAAATGGAAAAGGTGCAGAAAACTTTTCATTTAGTATGCGGAATGAGGATGTGAGTTCAAACCCTTACTTTACTAATGAATTTCATTTTAACTTCGAAAAAGAGAATATCAGTAGGACAGTTAACACACTTATTATTGTTGCCTTCCAATCCTAATCCAGCAGATAACTCCGAAAAGATATATAGTTAAAAATTTGAGAAATATGTTACCCAGGGTACTCGTGTACTTAATACCGAACATTCACTATAAATATGAAAATTCCTATTCTTTTTCTTAAAAACTGCAATGCAAAAATTAATTAAGCTGTTATAGTCATAGAAAATTATGTACGATAGTGTGACGACATTTGTTTCCTAGTATGCATATATGTATGTATATACAATATATGGATAATTGTTTTTAGTTACCTTTTGCTGTAGCCATTCTGAATGTGGACGAGATCTAGCAATATATGCTTTTAGTTCTACATCCTGGATGAGCTTCTTCTCTTTGGTATCAACCAACAGCATTCGACCAGGTTTTAAACGACTTTTTAAAATCACTTTAGATGAATCAACGTCATAAACGCCAACTTCTGAAGCCATTACTAGAATGTTTTCACTTGTTACGTAAAACCGAGACGGGCGTAGACCATTTCGATCAAGAACAGCGCCGATATACCGCCCATCTGTAAACGAAATCAAAGCTGGCCCGTCCCATGGTTCCATTACACACGATGCCCACTGATAAAAGTCGCGTTTTTCTTGCGGCATTGTCTTGTCATTTTGCCATGCTTCAGGAACCATAGTCATTATAGCCTCTGGTAAAGATCTCTTGCTAGCCATCGTTAGAAATTCAGCAACGCAATCGAATGATCCTGAATCTGATAGATTAGGTTCCACCACTGGATATAATTTTTTTAGATTTTCTCCAAAGAGATGGCTTTTCATAACCCCTTCACGTGCTTTCATCAAATTGACATTTCCGCGCAAAGTGTTTATTTCTCCATTGTGGGCAATCACACGAAGGGGATGAGCACGTTCCCAAGATGGGAATGTATTTGTTGAAAAACGAGTATGCACCAAAGCCAAATACGTTTCGAAATTGGGATCTTTAAGATCCGTGTAGTATTCCCATAACTGGTCAGATGTAAACAATCCTTTATACACCACAGTTTTGGTACATAAAGAGCAAATATAAAACCGTCGACCAACTTTAGCCAATTCATGACTCGCGCGTTTGCGTAATACATATATTTGACGATTAAAATCATCTTGGCTTAAGCCTGAATCGCAGCCAACAAAAACTTGTCGTGAAACAGGCTCGGACTTACGTGCAACTACACCAATAGCTTCTTTGTTGGTTGGAACCGTACGCCACGCAATTACTTTCAAATTCAACTCTTGTGCCAGTTGAGTGAATTCATTTTCAGCATCGGAGTGCGTTTGCACATCACAATAAATAATTCCCGTAGCATAACTTCCGAGCTCGGGCAATATAGTACCGGTAGAAGCACTAAAAATACAAATGAAAAAAGATGATATTATAAATAGTAAAATTAATCTCCAGTGATATCTAAACAAATATTAATTGATAAACTATGAAGGTTATGGTAATTGCTGACATTGCACATATACAGGAACCAATATTTGGCTTTTTTGTTAGCGAGAAAGCACTGAATATGCTTACGTATATAATTCGGCTAGATGTGAATCCGATGCCATTGTGTGAGAAATCTGCCATTGTCAAATTGATAGTTACATACATTTATTGTATTTGGAAATAACTTACAGTTCTTTCGCATACAAGTTATGCGGAATTGACGTTTTCACTCCAGCTCCATCCCCAGTATCATTATCACATGCGCATGCACCGCGATGGTTCATCCGTTCTGATAAAATCTGTGCATCTCGCAAAATCTATTTTAAAGAAATACAATAAAAAATATTTATAAATATTTAATTACAGAATTTCAATTATATGCATGGTGTGTACTTATTTCAAATTACTTATGGTAAGTATATAAGAAATTTTATTTTCATTTTATAAAGAGGATGTACGCACACCATAGTTTGATGCTTTAGATGGGCTGAAATCCTCCAATACCTTTTGGTAAAGTCAAGGGCTGGGTAACCAGACATCCTATATTTTCGTTTGGTTTTGCAATGCAATTAAATTAATGCCGAGAAAAGCACATATACCCAATGGTGGATTATAGTGCGTTTTAAAACATTTTCATAAACATCGTTCGGCTTTTTATTAAGTCTACGATCGTAAGAACCACCAAGAACAAAACATTTACAACTGGGTTACAGCACTGCATTTGCGATAAATCGAATTCAGAAATTTAATTTTAATCATTCAGAAAAGAGAAGTATTATAAATTTCTTAATTAAATTCGAATAGTAATTTTGGTAACAAAAGAAAGTATTTTTATGAGAAACATGTTACAAGGAAGTAGTATTGTGGATACATCGGTTATTTTGGACTAACTATTTCGCCATTCTCGGAAAACTTATACATGCAGTTGACTTCTTTCTATGTACGGATAGGTTTTAACGGTTGTCTTCGCATTCTTCGCAAGTTCGCAAAACACAGTAAGAGAAAAGAACGGAATCAGTTTGCCGGTGCCAAACCTTGAAAACTCATAAATATTTTGGTGCTAAAAAGATGCACGTGCTAATAAGTTATTTTGTTGTTAACATAGCAACGTGCTGTGAATCACAACTTTTTCAATGTATCTTGTATTCCCTAAAGAGCTTTCTAACAGGGCAAAAACTCTGATGTTAGCAGATACATAGCCACTACATTTGTAGGTTTTTACGTCAATATATATATATATATATACATATGCATAAAAATATTAAGTATACTATAAATATTTACATATCTAATATATACTTATATTGGAAAAAGACAGTTTTTCCCGTGTTTCGCATAACAAATACATATACATATGGTATATGTAGTTATATTTAGGATATCTACTTATCCATTTACATATACATATGAACATATGCACATATGTAAGAATATTTAAACAATATATAAAAGGTTGATATAATATACACATTTGTTCACATGCACATACTACATACATACAAATATGTATGTATTTACGTGAATGTACCTACTTAATGCGCAAGGCCGCAAAATTCACCATTTGATTGATTATGATGGATTTTATCGAATTACACCCCACTGCATTTGTGGTATACAATATATAAAAAAAGATCGATCATATTGTGGTTACTCTAACGATTGCCTTTTTTCCAAATACTACATTTTAAAAAGTTGCAACTTTTAATGCAAATGTGTTCTTTTTTTTACCAAAAATATGCTTTTCCGACTTTGAGTTATTCGAGATTTTAACCTCTAATATTAACTAAAGGATGTTGCTAACTATTGAATAGAGGATCAAAACTTTGAACTATCCTGATTATTTTGAAAATAATAAGTATTTTTAATATTCTTGAGCATACTCAAGCAAAGCAGTCAGTTATCAGTTGTGACCTATTGATCAATCGTTGTAAAGCATTTCTTGTTTACAATGAAATGTTTTGCATTTTTATAACAAAATTTTTTAATTTTAGAAAATTATTATTTTTTTCTATAATAAATGAAACTGGTAGCACAAAAATAAAGCATAGTCAAATAATCTCCGTGTTAAAATGATAATATTGTATTTTCGAAAAAAATTATTAATAAAACTACATCTTTAACATTAGAAGTTTTTGCATACCTTTAAGAGTTACTCTCCTACTTGAGACGATTTTCCTACTTGATTGTTTATCAAGTGCTTATCAGTACTTAATCATACAAATGCAAATATGCATAATCTTCGAACATGACGGAGCTCTTATGTGAAATAGCTTTCAGACTCTATGTGAGTTATATTTTTTATTATTAAATTTAAAAATCAGCTAATTATGAAAGACATTTAAAAATAGAATTCAAATTAATATGCAGACAAATTTACTTTGTATTACTAAAAGGGGCTATATGATTTAATTTCTTATCAAAGTTAAGTTGACAACGACTAACCGAAGATCAGTTATTGTCCTAAACTTGATGTGACTTGTTTCCTAAAAAATTAAATGAGGTACAATATTTTAAGGCCCAGAATTTTAATCATCACTACAATTTTATTGCATATTAATTAAGGCAGACCTGGATTTCATCAGAGCCTTAACTCAAACATATACATACATATATATGTATATGAATACAAACATAATGGGATGATTACTGGTCATACCAATTCTGTTTTTGGTTAAGGAAGATAAATTTGCAAAGATGTCCAAGTGAGGGTGAAACTAAAAAATGCAACTAACATTAATTTAATTAAAATCAACAAAGTTTAATGAATCTGTTACAAAAAGCAATGCGCAATATTTCTAGAAACGAAAACTCAACGAATGAGTATATTCAGGGAACATCTTGCGACAGTGTGAATAATTGAAAATGTGAATTTTTTTTTTTTTTTTTTTTTTTTTTTTTTTTTTTTTTGAAATGAATGGATTATGAGATAGCACAGTTATTCAAATAAATTTTTTTTATTTCCCTCCGATGTATGTATGTATGTATATGAATTATCAACGGAAAATATAAAATAATAAAGCATTTGTAATTAGTAATGAATGTTAAATAAATAATATTAAGGAGTTTTTATTTCGTTGATATTAATTTAACATTTGGAAGCGCAAAATTTTAATCGTTCGGTCGCTAGCAATTTGAGTGTCTGGCGGTATTGATATGCTAATTTTAAATTTAAAGCAATGTACAAGAGGAATGATGACCTTCGCTAATATTTTGGAGAGTGTATGAGAGGCTCCATTTTCCAATGCGGTAATACACATACATACACATTTATACATGTTATACATATTTTCATTTGGTCTTTGGATATACATACAATTATACCTTAAGTGTGATGTTTCGTTGTTTACCTTATGTGACTGAATTCCATCAATAGACACGATAAAGCCGACTCCACATGCTTCATGTTCATTCAATGGATCATATAAGCCTTGAGCATTAGGAAGATCCCACGAATTCCCTCTTGAATATGCTGATTCCCGTAATCCATCTTTACCTTCACTACTTTTAATATCACTTTTTAATTCCGCAGTAGAGTTAATTTTTGTCATAACCGATTCGTAATTTTCGACAGCGGTGTTCATATCCTTTGTTTAATTATCTTGCATATAATTTCAGATTTCCTTGGTTATGGGAAACCTACATGAAATACAATTTAAGAAAAAAAACTATGTATATATATTACTTTGACCACAAGTACTTTCAAAGCCATGTAAATATTACATGGCGCTTTAGAGCTTGTAAATTGATAAAAAAAAAGTAACAAAATATTTTATTATCACAACATTAAGTACACATATATGCAAAAATAAAATAAACTCGTTTATCTACTTTTCCAACACCAACGGACATACTTAACACGACTAGAACTGCTGATTTTCCACAAAGGAATGAAGAAAATGGGAAACAACCAATTGGTTCTAATTGAGCTTATTCCCATCGCTATGCGATCGCTTAAAAACCGGATACTCTGAAAGTCGATATAAGTAACACCTTATCGACATATAAGTGCATATTCCGCTTAAGTACACACATTTGTCGATTGGTTTTAAGGTGTCTCTTAGCTACATTAGTTAATATAAAATTGCTTGAACTGAAATCAATTCAAAGTAGAAACAGCGCGCTTACATGCAAGGTAATATAAATCAACATTTGTATTACGAACTATAGAAATTGTGGAAGATTTTTTCTGAAAAACTCTGCTGTGCAAGACAAATTGAGTGCACACAGTTGAACGAGAATAATATAGGTTTTGTTCAAATATACCTATGTAGAATATTGTCCATATTTGAGAAGAAAAATAAGTGGCTTTCAAAATTTCCGCTCATGTTTAATGTATTCATAATAAATAATAATAAAAATAATAAATTTGAATTTGAAATATTACAACCCTGTATGCTCATGCCGCGCGGTCAACGTACAACGATCTAAGCCCGTTTAGATGAACAGTTAATATTAGTCTTAGGCATGTACCGCGTCTGTATAAGTGCTTCTATATACCGCCGTGTGTTGTATTGACGGCATATCGTAAATTGACGAAACTATCTAACAGTAACTTTGGAGCCAAGACGCAAGTGCTCTGACTTTTCAATGAGTTTATTATATAAACATATATATGTATAATTGGCGCTTTGTTAACCGCTGAAGCGATTTTCGGCCGAACTTCTCCTCCAATTTCTGGAGCCAAGACGCAAGTGCTCTGACTTTTCAATGTGTTTATTATATAAACATATATATGTATAATTGGCGCTTTGTTAACCGCTGAAGCGATTTTCGGCCGAACTTCTCCTCCAATTTCTGGTTTTGCGTCTTGATGTTGGAGGGACCTACAGTTTATACTAAGCCGCCTCCGAACGGCTGGTGGTTTCATGTAATTAATACAATCGGAGGGGTTGACATTCCCTGCCGATGAGCGACCGCATTATAAAATAAGTCATTATGTTTTAGGTTGATTCGGCTATAATTCACATTTGGTGGCCTTCGGTCACCAGGTAACTGGTCAGACCCACAGATGTCATGCCTTGTACCATGCCCAGAGCCACAAATTTTTTAATCTCCACGATCAATAAATGAATTCGCTGCCGAAGTAGCTTCCCCAGCAGGTGTATGCTCCTTTATAAGAGTGCACCATCTCTGTTTAGCTCTGCAGCTCGTATCATTTTCTCAAGCATTTAATTAAAGAAGTTACTTGATAAAGAGCCTAGAAGTGGTGCCATCCTATTGTCACGGATGTTTTCCAAGATTTTTAAAAATGCTAGATGTCTGTTAAATTGTAGATTTTATTTTTTAGACCACAATAATATGGATCAGTTAGTTCGTTTAAGATAGGCTACAATATTTAACACAGTAAGCTCGATAGCATCTTGATATTGAGGACGCTTAGTTAACATGGGACTGACGCAAATTGTTTCACTAGGAATTGCTTACCAGAAAAAGCAAAGCTGTGGTTGGGGAAAAACTGATAAGGGGCCTGCGTCAGCTTCTTGCAGATAATAGACGATTGGAATCGAGATATGCTCTAATCATTAAATAAATTTACCATGCCTAAAAATGTCTAACACCTAAGCCTTTTATATCTTATTACTAAAAACCAACAAAACCGATGGGAAATCGGAAAACATAAAAAAAAAATATTTGTGATTGGTTTACTATCTTGAAGATTTTACCTATACCCTGTTTTTTATTGTTTAATTCCCTTCGTGTTTTGAAAAAACATCAAGACAAATTGAAGAAGTTGTGTGGTCTGACGTTGTCTTCATTAAACGCAATTTCCATCGCGTTCGCTACAAATGAACCCTTCTGGGCGTTTCGTATTAGTGTTAAATCAGTGAATACTTCTCCAGCTCGCTGAACGTCCCATTATCCGAATATGACGTCATTCGAACAAAAAAGCGGCTGGAAGCGATGCTTAATATCTGAGCTATGCATCATCTTCTTTGCATAAAAGGCATGATGAAAGCATGCCATACGATTGGAACCTAAATGTGCTCTGCGCAATCCACAAGAAGGGCGATCCCTCAATTTTTGTCATTTACCATGGGGTAAGCCAATTAAGGTTCTAGAAAGCGTATTTTTTTTAAAGACGAAAAACAGTATGGATTTAGACCTGGCAAAACAGCTTTTTTCGATGCAGTAGCCACCGGTGGAAGCAAGGGATGAGGAAGACCTCCACTCAGTTGATAGGACCAGGTAGGGAAGGACTTAACTGTACTTGGTATTTCCAATTGGCGACAAACAGCGAAAAGCGCTGTTGTTAACTCGGCTTTAATTGGATTAGCAGCCAATTAAAAGTTAATTACATTAAAGTTAACTTAATCTATGATAGTCACCGCTTGAGTAATTATAGCTGAGTTAAAAAACTACTTTTTGCCTACTCAGGTCAAAGTAGCCCCCGTTGGCAAGGGTAATTCTGAGTTTAATTTCATGCTTAGCATTGTTGTTGATGCTCCATGATAATTGAATTTCAATTTCTGAAAAATAGCTTATTTCAATGAAAGTTTTTCAAAAATCTTCTTTGACAATACTTAATTCTCCTGACAACGTTTGCAAGGGAAATAAAAATTGCTAATGCAATACGATCAATTAAATAAAATTTCAGGTAAATGAGTGCACACTGCAATTTTTATTTCTGTAATGAAATTAAACTGAAGAAATTAGCTTCTGCGTAGTCACATGTCAAAGTATACATTTTTTAACAGCATAATACGTGAAGGAAATACAAATAGTATGAAAATCATTACATCTTTTGGCACTTTTTTATCTGATTGTATATTCTCTGTTTAGATCTGCAGGCCATATTATTTAATTAATTTGATCTGAAGGACACTTATTAAATCCAACCAGTTCGTCGACGTTGTGTGGTCTGTTAAGGACTCTGATCCGAAGATCATTGTACTCTGTTTATCAGTTACCAGATCACCATTTTAGGTCCTACCTGAGTATGCTCCCGACTTGAAACCTTTTGTAAGTCACCGCAAATTACCACAGAATTTTCAAGACTTGCTCTCCCCAAACTCACTTCCTTCGGCCTCTCTCTCTCTCTGCTTCTGACTGAAAGTGTGTCTCGTTTAAGCTTAAATCTCTCCCATCGGAACATTGCAATGCAGAACATTTTTTTTTCTCCATTGCGGTACCATACTTTTTATCGAAAACCAATAGTTTCGCAATAGCATAAATTTCCAAATGTATAGAAGAGAAAAGCAACGGTTTTTTGCCCCATTACAAATGTTATCCGTAAAACTGACTCAAATATTCGGAGGTTTGGTTCGGCTCGAGACCAGGTAAAACAAGTGGAAATTTGTTGAATGGTATTTATACCTTTTCACTTGAAACCTTCGATAGCTACTATTAAAGATTCATTGATTATTTGGAAAAGCAATGGATTACAAATGTATGATAACCGTACTCACTTTTATTTATGGCATTCCACAAACATCGGTTGTAAATTTGAACTGTAATAAATTGCGGACTTTTTTTTTAACTTTAAGACACTATTCTTATTAAAATATTTTGATGTCTATTTAAGCTAATGTAAAATGCTGATATTAAAAAATGTCCCATCACTTTGAATATACCTAATATATATTTATTTACGAGGAACCGTTTTCATGCTCTATAATAGATACAAAACCCAGACCAAAGTCGCGGGTTATAGGAAACCTCGACCGGATGTGGCATGTTCTTGTCGGTGTAGTGATGTAGTGCTGCAAATGATTTTACAAAATCGAATACTTATACATAAACATATGAAGTAGTATATTACAAATTTATCTGGTGCTGACATCCCACCCTCTGGCGAATGCTGATGGGGATTCGCAAACTCTATAGCGGCTTACTTTGAAATAGGACGCCGCATAGTTGACGGTCTTTCGCGATGATAACCTCGGAAATTCGACATATTTGTCGTCGGCTTCGTGGCATCTGAGGGTCGCAGACCAGTTATCCTGGCTTAAGCGGAGCGACTTTCTTATGCCATTTCGAAGGCGTTAGAAGTCGTGGCAAGTATTCACATATCCAGTGCTTCCAGAAATGGTATTTCAAGTTTTGGACGATTCTCTATTGCTTTCGCAGGCATATCTTTTTATCAGCATTTCCAGCAGTTTGCGTTGAACTTAGACATCCCAAAAGAAAGTGGTTGGGAATCAACTGTTCTGAATTCTGTAGCTAGAGCGGAATGTCTGTCAGCGGGCCACAGTTGATAATATTTTCCGTTTCTGGTTTACAATGCGGGCGCCTCTTCCTTTAGAACGCGATGCAAAATTCGTTGGCCACATTGGATGAGTTGTTCCCAACCGCCTTCAGTTGGATTGGCTGTACAGATTAACTTCCAATCTATCCTGTCCTAGGAAGTCTGCCGTTTAATTTTATCAAAATAGAAAATACGTTCATCTTTGTTCAATGAGTGTTGTTCTCAAACGAAATTCGCTCCGATCGTGTAGACTCTGGTAGACAGTATGCGGCATCGATTCTCCCATTGATACGCAAGATCCCGTCCGGATCTAGTTTAGGAGTTAATTGAAACAATGTTTGGAAGGCACTCAGTTCGGCTTCAAAAATTTCCACTTGAGCTTAAAAGCTAACTTAATTTTCAGCTGCTCACTCGGCGTTAACTCACCACTTCGGCGAAATACGAACTTTAGGTTGTATGTCAAGTGTAGAATCCACGCAGTAGTCGGTTAAACTTATTAAAATCAATGATTTTTTTCAATGTTGCGCCATTAAAATTCTGTTGGTGCATTGTTCCGTTGTTCGGTAATAATTGATGTGCTCTTCTTGTGAATTGAAACGGCGGCAAATAACAAAGGCGACACAAACCACATAAAATCTCTGTTATTCCTTGTAAATAAAACCCAGTTTGGGTTTTATGTGTTATGTCCTTGTCGGCTTTAGCGCTGCGAGTGTTTATACAAAATTCCAAAACTAAATACTTAAGTTTATAAATTAGGCTTCATACTTATACATAAACAAGTGAAGTAGTATCCAAAAAAAGAATTTATTTGGTGCTGCCGGATGGATCATATGTGTGAGGTAAGCACGCATAAAACAAGACTTCATCATTGATAATACATTTTTTATCCTTCACTTAATAATACCTCGAGGCCATGTAAAGTGGGTGATTCAAAGGTTATTGAAGCT